GCTATCTCAACCCCCAAGAAATACTTGGTTGGACCAATATCTTTGATGGTGAAAGTTTTGTGAAGAAAATCTTTGGCTTCCTAAATATGAGATTCTGAAGAACCAGTGATTAAGACATCATCCACAAACACTAGGAGCACCAGGAATACATCTGAGGTAGATTTGATAAACAAGCAGTGATCATGTGCTGACTGTTGAAATCCAAAACCATGGAGAGCTTTACTAAATTCCAAGTTCCACGGCCTAGAAGCCTGTTTTAGGCCATACAGAGATTTGGTAAGCTTACATACTTGAGAAGGTTGAGCTTGATCATATCCAGGTGGTGGTAGCATGTAAACTTCCTCCTTCAGGAAACTATGGAGGAAAGCATTGTTGACATCTAATTGATGTGAATGCCAATCCTTTTCTGCTGCTAATGCCAATAAGATCTTGACAGTTACCAATTTAGCAACAGGTGAAAAAGACTCATGGTAATCCTCACCTTCTACTTGAGTATATCCTTTGGCCACGAGTCTAGCTTTATACTTGTCGACTGTTCCATCAGGCTTGTATTAACTCTATACACCCACTTGCAGCCAATTGGTTTCTTGCCTGGGGAAAGATCGGTTATCTGCCAAGTCTGATTCTATTCTAGTGCATCTAGTTCTGCTTTCATGGCTTCTCTCCATTCCAATTTAATACCTGCCTGTGAATTAGAATGTGGTTCCAGAACATGAGACAGATATGCTAAAAAACTAACATATGCAGGCATCAAATGAGAAGATGTAAAGAAAGGAAAAGTGGAAGGTGCCATAAATTTGGCAGAAGATGCAGGAACAGACAAATCAAGAGAATGGATGGCGGGAGAACTAATGGTTGTAGTAGCAAAACCTTCTAACCAACCAGGCTTTCTTTTGATTCTAGTACTAACCCTGGGAACAAATGGAGTTGGAGAAGGAGATTGATCAGAAGTTTCTGGAAACATGATTATTTGAGTTTGAAGAAACTGGATTTGGCAAGGATGAAAAAGCTGGTATAAAGGATGGTGTTTCATCAGAATCAGAAGCTGTGATAAAATCAAAAGAAGGAATAGCAACTTTAGGCACAGGAATCTGAGAAGATGAAGAAGAATAAGGAGTTGTGATGTGATAAGGAAAATTTGTTTCCTGAAAAATCACATCTCTTGAAACTGTTACCTTATGTGTTTCAAGATTGTATATTTTGTAACCCTTTTGCCCTTGTGGATATCCTATAAACACTCCCTTGTAGGCCCTAGGCTGGAATTTGTCTTTGTGTGGAGTAAGATCAGTCAAGAAACAAAGACAACCAAAGGTTTTAAGGTTTGAGAGATCTAGTGGTTTGGAGAAAAGAATCTCATATGGGGATTTCCAGTCAAGAACTGAGGTTGGCAATCTGTTTATAAGGTAAGTAGCAGTCAAAATGGCATATCCCTAGAATTTCTTTAGCAAGGAAGATTGAATCATAAGTGATCTAGCTACTTGTAATAAATGCTTATGCTTTTTTTCAATAATTCCATTTTGTTGAGGAGTATAGGCACAACTTTTTTGATGTATAATGCCTACACTAGAAAACAATGTAAGCAATCTTGGTTTATGAATTCTATACCATTATCTGATCTAATAGTTTTAATAATGGCATTGAATTGAGTTTTCACAAGTGAAAAGAAATCTTGCAAAAGAGAAACAACTTGTGTTTTATATCTGAGTAAAAATGTCTAAGTACAATGGCTGTGACATCAACAATCGTCAAGAAAAATGAGTATTTGTAAGGTTTGGATGCGAATAAGGCCCCCACAAATCTACATGTACAAGATCAAAGCAATTACTAGCATAAGATGAACTATCTGGAAAACTCAGCCTTTGTTGTTTTGCTGAGGGACATACTTCACACAGAAAGTGTTTATCTACCCGTAAATTCAACTTATGCATAACTATACTAGAAGGATGACCTAAACAGCTGTGCCAAGTAGTAGCAATTGCATCAGTTTTATTAGATGTATCTGCAGCTAGTAAGGTTTTGCTAAGCAGATTATGAAGACTGATGTTTGGAAGTATCAGCCGAAGATTCCTTTTGATATGCGATGGATCAAAAGATCTCTTATTGAAAACGTAAAGCCCTTTAAACACCATTCCAACTCTAATCACTTGATCAGTCAGAAGGTCCTGCATTATGCAGAAATCAGCAAAAAAGGTAAAGAAAACCTTAGCTGTTTGGGCCAACTTTCTGATGGATAAGAGATTGTATTTAAATGTTGGAACAAAAAGACACATATCCAAGGTAATTCTATCACATAAAGGAACAGAACTAGTTTTAGTGACATATTAGATGCTGCCATCAGATAAGCAGACTGGTGTTTTACAAGAAACAAGAAGCAAAGCCAAATTCATGCACATATGATTAGTAGCACCACTGTCTCCTATCCAAGATTCATCATCCAAATCACAAAATTAGACTGTCTCCTTTCGATAAAGAATACGAAAGGAAAACATCGATTGGTCGGGGAGGGAGAGAAGACGATGAAATCGTTGGGGAAGGGACTCTAGTGTAAGTGTTGAGTTGGATGTCTTTATCTAATAAAAATGAAATATAAATATTAAAAAAATAAATGGTGATTTGGTGAGGCGGGACTTTTCCCCCTCATTTTTTGGCCACAAAATCCCCCTCATGGTAGTTTTTTTTTTTAAAAAAATGAAGTGTTAGTATTTGTATTATTTAAATTAAACTTATCAATTAAATTAAACTTTAGTCAATTAGAAACATTTATCTTTAGGTTTTGAAATTATTTACACTTTCAATGCAATTTAGGAAACTTTTGTATTACAATAGTTACACATATGTATATTTGAAGATTGTTTTTGGTAATAATTTTCGTAAAAATTTATTAAATTGTGAAAGATTAATATACGGCAAAAATACATAGTGAATAGAACATTAATCAATTTGGCAAATGAATGAACACAAAACCATCCCTTAATACATTGTGGTTATCAAAAGAATAATTTGGTTCTTTTATTTTTAGTCGCAATCTTATTTAACTATAAAATTTCAATGACTATTACTGTTGTATTCTACATGTTCAAAAGTATAAGACTGTAGGACATATAAACTAATTTAACGAATTATTTCTTACTTAGATGCACTACACAGTAGCTATTCTATCAGACGGTGTGAACTCAATAAATTGCAATATACAAAAAAAAGTTTTTAAAGTCAAGCGTAGTTATGTATAAATATATCTTTAATCATATACTCCCTCCATTTCTTTTCAATAGCCTCACTTCTACTTTAGAGATATTTCAAAACTTAGTCCCCACTTCATACAATTAATTAACTTTTTTTATAAACTCTCTAATATACCCTTCCAACTTTCATTGAGATCAAGAATATTTAATTAATTTCAACTATTATTTTCTTTCTCTCGTATCAACTAATAACTCACTAGTCATTAATAAAGGTGTAGTAGGAATTTTGTTTAAAATTAAGTACATAAACCACATTACCCACTTTTTCTTAATATCCGTGTATGTCTAAATGAGCCTATTGAATTGGAATGGAGGGAGTATTAATATTAAAGTAACTATTAACTTGTAATGTATTTGACTATCCTTGGAATAGAACTTTTCTTTTAAATATCATATTCTACGGGGTTGAATCATAAATGTTAAGGTGCCTCGATAATATTAGTTTATGATCATTATTTTAAATGTTATAATTTATGGGGTCAAATCAAATATTAGGGTACCTTACTAATATTATTCAAAGATGTATTACCTATATCAATTTTCATATTATTGAATACCTATATCAATTTTCATAAGATTGAATTGGGTGAAGACCAAAAAAAAGTCAATATTTGCGATTTAGCCCAAAAATTATAGCTACTACAACTAGCTGAATTACATATACATATATTAGAACTATAAAATAAACCTTAATAGTGGGGTTTTTCTAGTGGTGACTGTTTTAGACTATATAATACATAAACGGTAAACAATGCAATAAACTATCAAATAATTAAAAAAAAAACACCCATGGAAGGATACTAATTACAGTGTATATATAATAATTGGAAAAAACATAAATGTATATATACGAATACAACGTATACAATAAGATTATAGAAGTGGAGAATTATGTATAGCTTTAAGAACGTAAGTACACAAATCGATCCTAAATGATGAGATTCATGGCATCGGAGTCTCTACGTTTGTGTATTGTTTAATTAATTCGTAATCATTTATTGTTAATTAACCACTAAATATCATAATGGGACGATTTTAAGAGCCCCTTATAAATAATTAATATAGGACGAATTTAAGCGTCCTATACTGTTACCCTATTGGGACACATAATTATAATGGGACGATTTAAGCGTCCTAATAAACAAATATTATAAAGACAATGTTAAGTGTCCCTTACATGTTGTTAATAGGACATTTTTTTGATGTGTCTTATTATATATCTATCGGGACGTTTTTAAGTTAAGCGTCCCAAAAAAAGCGTCCTTATAGGTCATTTTTTTTGTAGTGTCAAGCTGGCGGTGTGTCGCTTGCTTTTCACCTAATAGTCTCAAGGTAATCGGTTACTCCTTGTACAATAATTTCAGAATGCAAGAAATATCATATATGTCATTCATTTCATTGATTAGTTTTTAATATAATTTTAAACTCACCTTTATGCATAATTATTTGAGAAATGATTGGACATCTGAATTAGTCCAGGACGGTCCACACTTGGTCCTGAATTCTACTTAATTTTTTTTTTGGTTATATTTAATTTGGAAATGTTTATAATTCCTTTCTTAAACATGAGAGGAATCCACCCAAAAAAATTCAATGAGCCACAATTCACAATACACACACTACGTAAGATTGAATGAGCCACTAAAAAAAAAAAAAAGCAAATTAAGTTTTATTAGATATTACGCGGGGGTTGAGAGGGAAAGAGAGGAAAGGAATAGGAGATATCCAAAGCTAGCTAGAATCTACTGCTCCTGGTAATCAAGTGTTAGGGGGAATCCACAAGGGTGGAGAGATGAAACTTAGAACGGACTTATCTTGAACATCAACGCCAACGTCAAGGCCATCCAAACGTTCAACGTTTCCATCTTCCATATTATAGATTCCCATATCTCTCCCACCTCCTCCCATTTCCTGGAATGTCAACCATCTATCGTCCGAAAAATATATACAATTAGGTTTTATTCCATTTCTTGTTTTTGGTTCGGACCCCGGAACCGCGATTGTGGCATTATACCCAACAAACAATGCATCGCCTCCCAAATGAGGAATCTCCGCCCAGTCGTTTCTCACCGTATCCAATTGATAAACTTTAAAATGCCTGGTGTAAAAGTACTTAGTCTTATATACTTGATCAGCCTCCTCATCAGAAGAGTCGTCACCGTCCTCATACATATTCTCTAATCGCAAAATCAACAATAATTCTGCTTCCCCCGTCTCGGAGGAGTACTTTGATGATGATTCCACTAAGTACAACTTACTATAGCGAGGAGTAGATAAAAATTAATGGAGAGGACAATGTGGGCAAGGGGCGTATTACCATCCCAAACCCAGATGTTTCCGCAAGTATTGATTGCGTGGAACTTGCCTTTGAAGTAATTCACATCCAAGAAAGCGGAGTCTCTCTTGGTTTTGATCAGCGTCCAATTCCTATTTCCAGGCCTCCAGAAAACTAAAAACACCGAACGACAAATAGCCACTAAAGTAAAATCTGACACCTTAGATGGATTCTCTGATAGTACCGCTTTGGTTATGAAAATTAAAGGGTCGCAATCTCTATAGTCAGGGAACCCTTGGAAATCGGGGAGTCCAAACTGCAGACCTGAGAGAGGGTTCCATAAAGTAACCCCATCGTAATCTGCGAGGGACATCAACCATCCAAACCTCACTTCAAAGCATCGTTTACCCTTGGCTAGTGGAAGGGATGATCTCATGCAAACTTTGCTTTTTGATAGGCTATAAAACTCCCGTTCCATATTTCCCTCCTCTTCTTTTTCCACCAACATAAGCAATGGAACTCTCGGCCAAGAAGGACCGAACTTATCTTTGGTGACAGCGGTTCGCCACCAAGCGCACACCCCTCTGAATGCCATGAAATCCTCTACATCTGGTAAGCGTATGGCTATCTCCACCAACAGATCAGGAATAAGGGACGACCAATCCATCAATGCGTACTGCGGTTGAAGCTTAGGCATATTATTATCCATAGCAAAAGTAGATAATAAAAACAAATAAATCAATGAGGCAGGAAAAGTTAGGTAACTAGAAAGAATGCTGCTGCTAGGCCTGGTTTTAGATTCTTTTGATTTGGAATACAGATAGAGGGGGGTTGGAGATTTATTTATAGACAGGCGCCCACTTAAAACTCCTTTAAAAACTTGGATTTAGATTTAGGTGGTTGTTATTCATGGTAATAATAAAAAATAGTTTCATAGTGTGTATACATCCTATATTTTTTATATAATAATACTACCCCCACTACAAATATGAAAACTCAGTGTGGATTATTTTTTTGGGACGGAAGAGGAAGTATAAAATATATAGAATACCATGGATCCAAAACTGATTCGGGCATAAGAGCCCTATCTTGTAAGGGACGGAATCCATCAAACTGACCAGCAATTGTTGGAATTCTAATTGAAAACTAACTAATCTATTTTTGTTAATTAGCAAATACGCGAGCAGGGAACCCAAAAGAAATGAATAAAATAAAACAGATGAGATGAGGGCATGAGGCTAACAATTTATTATGGACTAATGTTGCTAATTAAGCTACTAGTCTACCACAACAAAATCGACTGTACCCCTTTTTTATTTTCTGTTTACCCCTAAATAACATTTTTTTACCTCAAAGTCAAACACCAAAACCATCCGCACACACACGAATTACAAACACTGATCCCCACACCTTCCCCTTTCTCTCCCTCGGGAGGTAAATCACCGATCCGGACAGGAGTGACAGTCGGGAAAGGTATTTTCCATAGCCAAATTCCAGCATTCACGGCCCCTTCTTTGATACTACAGTTCATCATAATTGTATGGAATCGGGAATCATAATCTTGGCTGGGATATATATTGAATATAGTTGCGACCACGTATTTTAATTTACAGTAAAAAAAGAATCCATCTGTTCAAAAAAGTGGCCGGAAGGGTGTTGCGGTTGCCCACCCTCATTTGTGAAATATATTACAAGTGCTACGAAAGTTTCATGTAATTTAGACACCTTTTTAATGAAATACTAATAAAGAATACTCTGTTTTTTTATTCTCCATCTAAAACAGAATAGATCGAAATAACTATAACGATATTCTAACGGAGGAGGGACCAAACAAAAAAAAAAAAACATACCTATGAGCCGCCCTTCGACTTCGGTCTTGATCTTGTACCCAAGTCAATAACCCGATCTCGCCGGCGGATGCTCTTTCCTGATTTGCTATAGAGGGGGTTTGTTTGTGGTTTGTGCAGATGTTCCACAACTGAAAACTTGCTAAAATTTGTTATCCTGAATTGGGGTATTATGAATTTGGAACCATTGATTGTGTGGTTATAAGGAAGAAAGGAAATGGTTGTAACTTAGGAAAGAGGTAGAAAAGAAGCGAAGACAGAAAACAAAGAGGTCATGGAATTTGAGAGGTGATTCAGTTTAAGTGAAAACTTGTGTGACTAAACGCTGCAAGATGGTTCACAGTTCTACTATATTTGTGGGTCCAAAATTATGTAAGTAATGAGTGTAATATGTTGTAGGAAAAAGTGTGCAAATGTTGGATTTCAGTGATTCGCGTCAAGGGTTTTTTACACCATATTCCTAGAATACTTCCTAAATTATTACTCCCTTCGTCCTATAATTATTGTTCAGTTTGAGTTTTCACTTTTAATTCAAATTATATTAAAAATAAAATCTTAAATTGGACAATAATTTTGGGACAGAGAGAGTATATAATATTTTCACATTTCTCTAATTGAATATTACTTTTATTTTCTAAATTTTACTAACACCCTAAACCATCATTGGATGAATCTATCGAGATTATGTAATCTTGATGAATAATGTAGAAAGTGGTGTAAGATAGTGTTGGCCATCTTTTGCCGTTTTGGGGTAGGAGATACGTAGTTGTTAGGGGTGTTCACGGTCCGGATTGGTCCGGATTGATAGCAATCCGTAACTAAACCGTTCATTACGGTTTGAAAAATTTTCAATCCGTAATCGGACCGGATTGGTGTATAATCCGGATCAATCCAATCCGTTTTTAACGGGTTAGTTTGTGCGGTTTGGCGGTTTGGACTTCTGATTGGACTTTTTTATTTTGGGCAAAAAATTAAACATCTTTTTGTTGTTGGACTTTTTTTGGGGGCTTTTCCTGAAATTTTTTGGGCCTTTTTCAGCCTTTTTTTTGGAGGCTTTTCTTGAAAAAAAGGAAATAGTTCATGGGGGATTTGAACACACGACCTTAAGCGAGGTCTAATGTAGAGAGAACAACAACAATGCCAATGGGACAACTTAGCACTTTCAATAAAAGTCTCTATCCGACGCTATATATACAAAACCAATATATTATTATTTTATATAATATATACGGTCCGGTCCGAATTGACAGACAGTTTAACAGTACCAAACCGTAATCCGGACCGGATTGACTGGTTTTCAAATTTTTAATCCATCCGTTTAAAAATATAATTATAATCCGCTCGTTAATCCGAATCGATGACTGGATTGGACGGTTCCACTGGTTTGAGCCAAACCGTGAACACTCCTAATAGTTCTAGTCAATTTTAGATATAATAAATATATATTAAATTACAGGGTATTGTTAGTATAAATATTCTTTAAATCAAGAGATTTGTTGTTAGTCAATTTTTGTAGAATCAGTTCTCAAAACTCATGGTTGTGTATGAGTTCTTGCAGCAATATGCATCACATCTGCATTTGCATATGTATCCCACTTGTTTGTGTAAAAGTTTTGTAGTTTTTGGGTATAATTAGATAAATTATAATAATACTATATTACCGCCAAAGAAAAGAAGAAAACTCAGACGGCTTTCCTTTTTCCCATCATCTTATAAATTATTGTGAATTGAGGCATATACTTTAGAGACCATGTTGAGTGCACCCAGTATCATGGTAGGTCCATTCCTATTTTTTGTATATATGATTCTTATTATATTTTTTTTCTCAAACTTTTTATGTTTTGTAAGTACAGTGCTTGTCATTTTTTTTTTCTCCCTCCTCATAAAATATCTTTAATTTTCAAACATGCATATCTCTCAATCTGTGGATAATTAGAAAACGAATTATATATAAAATTCATAGTACTCATCGAGATCTATCCAACAAGATCCATATCGAATATTTTTTTCGAACTTAAAAATGACTAAATTTCGATGGACAGAAAGAAGATGGATATCTAGTCTAGTTTAAAAAAGATGGATAAACAACTATTTTATATTGATATTCTTGTAAAATTTATATCTCTCAATCCGTAAAGAATTAGACAACAAATTATATACGAAATTTATAAATCTCGACGAGGTCTATCCGATATGATCAATATTGAATATTAATTTTGAAAAGCGACGGCATCGAAAAGGCATCTCAACTTTCTGTTTTACTCCTTACATGTTTAGAATTTGTGAAGACATCCTAGAAAAAGCCTTCCCAACGCAGAGATTGAGGATCAAATTACAGTGTGAGCTAACTTTTGACCAACCTAAGAAGTCCTTTTAGCAAAGTTGGGTGGAGCGGGAAGAACCCACATTGTGCTTGGGTGGTTGAGCTACGCCACTGCAGTGAGTCTGCAAAGAGCTCCGAGAACAACATGGAAACCCGAAGGGTGAAGTGAAGCCAAATTTGTATAGCCAAATTGGAAATGCATCTTCATAAGTAGAAGCATTTTCTTCTCTCATTCTGAAAGGTGATTGGAGAGTTAACCAAAAAGATGCTCAAGTTTGAAACAGTTGGTGTCCAGACAGTATAGTAGTAAATTTTAAGCAACTGGATTAATAAAAGCAGTTACTTTATACTTCATCATGGATTTCACTGAGTTCCGTTGTCCTATCCCAAAGCCACCGAATATCTTTCAGTGAATGCCTCTACATCTGAAGTCCCTACACATTGAATTGCTTTACTACACAGACAACATAATTAATGATGCCAACAAACAAAGGGGGAAGCAATAAGTTGCACAGCTGGTGATTGATGTTGAGACGTTTCTGCTACTTGCTGTCATCCCGTTACGCCAATCTTGACTTAGCCAGAGTAGTTTTGTCCTGGAGAAAAATTGCCATTTCAGACCTGCAACCCCAAACATTACTTTGCTTCCAGAAGACCAAAGTGGCTGCAAGCTGAAGAAACTTATAAATCTCTGAAAATTTCCATTCTTCCCGGGTGCGAAGCCTTGTTTTTGGTTTCTACTTTTGCCTTCTTGACAAGCATTTGGAGTCATCATATCCACCTTTCAGTCTTGGATTTCACGATCAGCCATTAGGTACTTATCTTTTTCTGATGAATTTATCTGGAATACCAGTTTTTTGTTAAAGTTTCTTGCATATAGATAACCATAATATTGCATCTCGTTACTGAAATCTATGTTCTTAGCTAAACAGAGCATTTTCCTTGGATTGTAGGGAAACATGTCTCATGCTGCATTGGTGTATCTCATGCAACTGCTGGACACGGAACTGATACAGTTTTCCTTTCGACTTCTCTGAAATTGAGGAAGAAAAGGCCAGAAATTTCCTTCTCAAAGTTGATGAAGTTCTCTCTGAATTGAGTGGATTCAAGAATCTAAGAGATGCTCCAGATTCTTGTGTGAGGCAAATGAGGGAAGGGTTGGAACCTATACCAGTCCCGAACAGTGAACATCTTATCAATGCTGCTCGGTCTCCAAAAGTGCTTCTTGATAGTCGACCAATTATGATTAAAATCCCAGGTATCCTGAATAAAGTCGCTGAAACGAACAGCTGTTTGAAGGCTTTCGTTGTCAAATTACACGGCGAAGTGACTAGTCATCCAGCTCCCACTTTGACACAACAGCGGGAGTTACTAAATGCTCTGCTTCCCGCCAATGAGGAGTTCAAGAGGATCATTGACTTCTTTAATCCAAGGGTTAAAAAGGCGGAAGCTCCTTATTCCATGGCTGGCAGTTTGCTGGAAACAATCGAAGGTACTAATAATGATAAAGTTGGCATAAAAGTTGCTGCGGAACAAGCTGCTGACTCGATTGAAGATATGTTGATAGTGATTGGGAAATATCTGTTTGAGAGGGAAAGTTTTATGGAAGATTCGAGCTTCCAGGATTTAGTGGAACACATAGACAACACTTTAGAGGGGGGCATATGCCTCACTGACTAGATCCGAGTCGCTTCCACCCATTTTAATGTTTCCCCTGCCTATTGCATTCGCTCAGAGTAGTGTGGCCAAATTAGATGCAGCTTTGTTGTACGATCTGGATGAAGACGTAAGCAAAATGATCCATGAACTCATTAAACAATCACATTGACTGACAATTCTGCAAGTCTCCGAGATGGGTTGTACTGGTAAACCTATTCATGGTTTACAGAATTTGGAGATTTGTGTTGCTATCCAGAAATACTTTCCAGATGATGGAGTTGGAAGCCGAATCATCGTTAGTAGTGTTTTAAACCCTGGAAGTTCAGAGAGATCATCACCAGAAAATGAGGATATTGTGGTGAGTCTTGAGGAAGACATAAGTAAAATCATCGATGAACTCACTAGACCACCAACTCGATTATCAATCGTGACAATCACAGGGATGGGCGGCATTGGTAAAAGTACACTTGCCAGCAAAGTTTTTCATCACCCCGCAATTGTCCATCACTTTCATTCTCTTGCATGGACGAGTACTGTTTCTAGCGATTGATCAAGTGTTGTCCCATCTTTTGCAAATCATGTCTCAGTCCTGTGATGGGATTCAGGCTGAAAGCATTGAGGACAAAGCTCAACTCTTGTACAGAAGTCTGAAGGGAAGAAAGTATCTCATTGTAGTAGATGGTTTGTGGAATTTTGAGCATTGGGATGCCGTCCTGAGGTATCTTCGTGATGACAATTTAGGTAGTCGAATCTTAATAACCACTCGCGTCATGGAGTTTCCCGCCAGTATCAACATTGCTAAGAATCCTCCTCACTGTATGGAGCCTCTAGATAAACATCAAAGTTGGGAACTCCTGGAAAAGTTGGTGTTTGGTCAGGAGGGCCGCCCTGAAGAACTAAATGGTGTTGGAAAGGAGATTGCTGAAAGATGTTTAGGACTCACCACTGGCAATTACTGTTATTGCTGGTATTCTTCATGGCATCTCAATGACGATTAGCTCCTGGTTGAGTATTAATAGTGCGGTAACTTTAGGGGTATCAGCTGATGCAGACTACTTTCTAGACATAGTCGTTTTGAGTTACAATCACTTACCCTCGCACTTGAAAGCCTGCTTCATCTATATGGGGGCTTTTCCTGCCAATCGTCTGATTGTGGTTGAAAAGTTACTCAACTTATGGATAGCCAATGGTTTCTTGAACTCCAATTCCTCAAAACCTGAGGCGGAGAATTACTTGAAAGGTCTCATTGACAGAAATTTACTTAGGGCAGGGAAGAGAAGTTTAGATGGAAAAGTGAAAACGTGCCTCATTCATGATCCTTTGAGACAGGTATGCCTGCGAGAAGCTCAGAAAGAAAACTTCATGCAGGTTATAGAATCCAATGCCATTGCTAATGGTTTAGAGAAACAACAGCATCTCGTTTTCAATTTGGAAGATTTAGATGATTTCCAATTGTTGCCTCCTCTTCCCAATCTTCATTCATTCAGATGGCCTAATTTTGGTTCTGATTTCAATCTGGGTATGATCCTTCTCCAATTACCAGATTTTAAAAGATTAGGAGTGCTGGATATGTATTTTGTGCCTTTTGATACTTTCCCATCAGCATTGCTGAACTTAGTCAATTTAAGGGGTCTTGCTCTGAACGTAACTTATGAGCTTGATACATCAATATGTCAGCTCTTAAAACTTCAGACAGTGCTCATCTATGGTCCTTGGGTCTCCGGAACACCACCAACTCTGTATGTGGAGTTTTGGAAAATGCCTTGGTTGAGGAATGTGTATGTTGAGGTTCCTAGTTGTCTAACATATCCTTACCCTCTTCAACCTATATTAGATGGTGTTCTGGGACCATGTAACCTCCAGAGCTTATCCAAGATAGCATTTTCCAGCTGCACCAAGGAGGTTATATTGTTAATGGTCAATCTTAAGCAACTAGGTGTCTCTGAAACCGAAGAGGATTTCAAGAATGGCGAGCTAACAAAATGCTTTCATAATCTATCTCTCTTGACTGAACTTGAAACTTGAAACTTTTGCTTATACAAAGGAAATAGAGAAGCAAGAATTTTGGATTGGAATGCTGTGCCAATCAGTCTAAAAAAGCTGACATTGGATGGAAGTGACTTGGCATGGGATGAAATGAGGTGTCTGGCCTTGTTACCTACTACCTAGACTCGAGTCCTTGAAGCTTAAAAATTATGCGTTCGAAGGACCAAATTGGGTGGTAACAGAAGAGGAGGTATTTGGTTCACTCAAGCATTTTTTGATTGACAACAGTGATCTCGTGAACTCTGGGAAGTTGAAGCTACTGATAACTTTCCACGCCTCCAATCCTGCGAGTTCCTGGAAAAGATTCCTTGTGATGAACTTGGTGTCCTTGAGGAGATTGAGTTGCACCATTGTAGTGAATCAGCAAAGAAATGGGCCAGAGAATTCGAAGAACAATATGGCGGTCCAAAGGTGGTTACTGGGGAGTCAAATACTGTATAGAATATAGATCTCCTTAAAACTTCAAACTGTGATGTTACTTTTTGAGCATAGCTGTGAAATGATGTGATCAGTTAATGTAAGTTTAGTAACGGTGTGTTGAGGTTGAAAAGCTTCTATTGTTATGTGAGGTATAGTCCTTTTATCTTACGAAAATCGATCCATAAGCTTCTCCATTTCATTGTTTTAGATTAATAGAGATATTCAGTAAAACATTTGTGCAGTAGAGTTCAGCGTTAAACGTAATTTGCAGTCTGAATCGTCATCTTCAATAGCAGATGTCCATTTCACAGTGTTGACGACCGAGTGCCATCTTTATTCGTCTGGCGATTCTTATAGGGATTTGATTTTTGTACAGGTTGAGTTTGGAGTTCAGCTTTATAGTGATGTCTTTTTTTTTATTTGGCTGTGTAAATGATTTTTATTCCTTTTTTGGATCTCAGTTCACAAATCATAAGTTGTACCAGTAATAGTTTTGGTTTTTTTTTTTTTTAAAGTACTAGTCATAGTTTTCAAATTATTTATAAGACTAATGCTCCCCCTAAAAAAGCCTACCAAACTCCAAAGAATTGAGAGGGATCAATTACTAGTCCATTTCATCCATTTCGAAAGGTGAATGGAGAGTTAATAAAAAAGCAGAAAGATGCCCGCCAAGTTCGAATTGTAAGTAATAATTGGATGAAAGCAATTACTACTGAAAATTACATTATTATGTATTTCACTGGATATTGGGATCTTGATTATGTTCTTTCCAAGGAGGGGAAATCTGTTTGGATTTTTTGTTTTGTTTTTTTTAATAATAATAAACGTCTCATCTCAACATACCATTTTATATTTTCAATACACTTAGTTTGAAACTTTCGGTTTCTCCCCTCCCCCTAAAGTCCCCTAAAAATACCAAATAAACCAATTATTACAATCATAAGCTCAACTTCTTGCTGTTGGTCCAACTACCATCAATATCTTCCCTAGCTCTGACCATATATAGTTAGTGATGGAGTGGTGATTTGAGACATTGACACGAATAGTTACGTAACGTGATTATGCTTCCAGAAGATCAAATTGGTGGTGTCTAGCTCAAGACTTGTTCTAATCTCCGCAAAAGTTTCTTCATTACCCGCGACTCTTGTAGTCTTGTTTCTCGATGAATGAATCTTCTTTCAATTTTTATCTTTTTTTTTTTTAAGTAAAATTTTAATCTCAATCAACTGTGGGAGATTAAGTCAGAGAGCCAATAATTATTTAGTTTTTCTTTTTTTTCCATCTTGAATTAAGTGTATCAGTAAATTCGGATTCAATACCGCTCCATTTTCTTGTTCGAATTTAAATTCGAATCATATTATTTCCTCCATTCCAAAATAAATGTCATTCTACACTTTGCACATAGTTTAAGAAACTCTTAAATAGGGTAATAAAATTACTTGAATATCCTCAACCAACTCCATTAAAAAGAATATCCACTAATAATATTAATTCTTTTAAGGGTAATTTTGGAAACTTTGGACAAAAAGTGCATTGAAATGTGAGGACGACACTTATTTTGAAAATTTTACATTTTGCTAAAATGACACTTAATTTAGAATGGAGGAAGTACTACTTTATACTAGCTCTTTTTTAATTAATCAAAAAACCAAGCTATATAAATACACTCCAAATGATAACAAATATTCGATCTCAAGTATAGAAACAAAAATATGAATTGTTCTTTTAAAATCTAAGAAGAATTGTTCTTTAACAATCTAATAAAGAGATATACAAACAAATTCACATACGCATAAGTTGGACAACAGTGAAACCAATAGCACGAACTACACACATATTAGGTTTTGTTTTTCATGTTTAACAAAAATAATAAAATTAACGGGGAAGAAGAAAAAAATTCAGCAGCAGTTGAAATCCTCCAAACATAAATCTCAGCCGCCACTCCAATCTGAAATCTTCTATAATCTTTCCCAAAAAAAAAAAAAAAACACTTCTATAATCTCTCTTTTCCTATTGTGACCGTCAATCTTCAATTGCTCTCGTATCCATCACACGAACATCTCAGCCCAAGCCACATTGTTTCTACTCGGTCTATCAAAAGCTGGTGAGAAGAGCAAAACAAAGGCTTTAGGGTGAGGCTCACTCGATCGTGTAAATCTGGTACTCCCTCTATTTTGAAATATATATTGTTTTAGGGTTTGATGATATCTTTTTTTAAATATATATTATTTTCACAAATCGAGACACATTTGACCACTTTTTACCAAAATTGTCCTTGCATTGGAAATGAAATAATATTTATAATGAATTTCTATTGGTTTGTGATGAATTGTGTAGACAATTAATAAGGGTGTTTTTGTATTTTAACTAAATGAATTAATATGTTGTTGGTTTTGATGAATTCTCTAGAAAGACATATAAAAGAAAATGGAGAGAGTACTAAAAGCAAAAATATTTCAATAATTATGTCTCAAATGACGTCATTTTGGACGTTTGGTTGGTAAAAAAAAAAGAAGTAGATTTTATTAATTGACAATTATAACTCTATTTTGAACCAATTATTAATTGACCATTATAGTCTTGTTTTAAATTGCTGATGTCAGGTTAATATATTAACCAATCAAAGGGCTCAATTTAAAATTGATAATGTCATGTGAACTAATGGACCAATCACATTATTTAATTTAATTTTAAACCAATCACCAAGAGACATTTTCTTATGTACAGATAATACATTATTTTTACTACTCGGAACTAAATACTCGGTTTGTATATTGGGTTTACAAGCATCTACATATATATAAGGGGGAACCCCCTTTTTGTTGCACGGTTAAAGGGGGGTTCCCGGTCAAGCGTGCTGATGTGGCCAGTTGGGACTGGACCGCTATGATTTTTGTTTTTTCCTTGGTTTCCTTATGGAAAGTTTGTTTTGTCCGTTGTCGGTTGTGTTGTTTTCTTTCTTCACATTAACAAAATTTTGTCCTCGTTTTTTCATTTTCGGACACAATAATAGAGTTCATTTTCGGACACAATAATAGAGTCTTCTACTTTCTTCCTTGCGTTTCTCGTCATACCCGTCTAGATCCAGAAGGTTAGCGCCTTCTTAATCCTTCAAATCACCAGATCTACTCTACAAATCATTGGATCTACTTCGGTCGGCGCATATATTTTCGTTGCTATTCATTTTTTGGTTTGTTTGTGCAGTTTTACTGTTCGCCGGCCGGCAGAGGAACAGAAAGAAGTTCAAGTTGGAGGCCTCGGGGAAAGAAACCCAAGGGTTTAAAGTGAGTTAATTTGAATGATTATAATTTTATTCCTGTCTGATTAATGCATGTGGGTAAAATTATACGGTCAGTTAGTTTCATTTCTTCTCGATTATTGCATGTAAAGGTTTAGAGTTTTTTAGAGCTTTTTACCTTCATTCTTTTTGTTTTTCTTGGGATCGAGTTTGGATTTCGGTCTTGTTCTTTCTGAGATTCACTGACAGACATGAATAGATGATAAGTTAGTTACATTTACTCTATTGAAAGGATGGTGGTTGTCATTTTACAGAAAAGTGGATGAAAAAAGGGGAAGCTCTGAGTAATAAGAACAAATGTTGCAGGATTATCTGATGGGTAATTGGGGGCTGGGCTAAGTTATCATTATGGTCTGCATTCCAATTGAAAAGGGGGGTGTATACTGTATAGTTAGTGGCAGGTTGGTGCATGCTGGAAATTGCATATTAGAAATTCCAAGTCATTGATTTTCTAATAGAAATTCCAATTGAAATGTTAAATATTATGTAACAAGGGCTGTTGTATTACATACTGGTGTTCTGTAAATGGTCATATGAATTTTGTATTTTTGGCATGAATTTTGTATTACAAAAGAGCAGTATATCCCCAACCAGCAAAAAGCATGTCTCTTTTACCATGGTTCATAGTATCAAAATTGCTTGTTACTGTCTTCTGGACTTGATCATACAGGAAGTTGAAGTATTTCATGCAGCCCATTTTAACCAAATTTAGATAATTCAAAGTAGTGTTAAGTGCCACCTACAAACTTAAAGTTATTTCCACATTCTTTATTTTGTTCTTTCCATTTGGTAGGCATTTAATGTTCTCCATTTCCTCATACGTTATACACAGCAGTCTTTGTATTGCATGTAGCAATCATTTTGAACTGATTTAAGTGGAAAACAAAGATAAAATTTTGATTCATAATCCGAAAATTTACGGAGTTCAGTAATCTACTAACCGGTTGCAATAAGATAACCCATCAACTGGTTGAAATAAAATACAAATCCTCAAAATTAATTAAAATTGAGTAAAATTCCCAGGGTTTCTAATAACTGGAAAATACAATGTTGGATCAACCCATCTTTCCATTTACTCCTTTTATTCAATATCAGAGCAGCACAGTAAGATACTGATTTTGAAAACAAAAAATGCATCAAAACTTCCTTTTTGTCCTTTACGAAATCACATGTAGATTAATTTAGGAATTCATATATATGGATTTCATTGGTTTACCTGATTGCTGTTTTAAATATTTCCATTTTCATATATTGGTAAATA